GGTAGAGTAGATATGGAGAGGTAGAATTTACACTTACATCATTTAATGCCTCAGCAGCGGAATCCATATCATCACTTGAGAAAACATTAAGTTGCTGTAACACCTGCAATAAAGTTTAATGAATAGATAGAAAGTATTATGGTTTGGGTTTTGCAAGTAGGAGATAACAAGCAGCAAAAGTTTAATTGCACACAATCAATTAACATCAAGCTGGCAAAGAGAAATAAAGATTTGGAAACCAGAAAATACCCTTCCTACCCTACCCAAAAAATTACATTAACATGTAAAACAATTCTCCAGATAAAACAAAAGTAACTTCAGAACCATTAGAGATACATGACAGGATATCCACTGATTTTGTAACCAAATTTTTCAGGAAATTTCCAAACAAACAATTTGAATGGAAAGCCTCAAGAAGTATCAAAATGATGACAACTTTCGAATCCACAATGTTTCTAAGAATGTGAATTTAAAATGGTGTTTGGATGTTTAGGCATTGCCTCTTCTCCTTTTTGGGGAAAAACTTAACGTGGACAAAGGAGGTGGGCTCAGCCTAAAAGAAAGCTTACTCTGTCCATACACCTAGCTATACTTCTCCCCATCATAGATAAGAGTGTACTGTCTCTCCGACTTCTGGTTCGGACTCGCCCTGCGCATTTCTTAAGCCCTTGTTTGAGCCACATTATTTTGGAAAAAATGCATTTTTAAATAGTGTATTGATGAGAAATGTATAGTTAAAATATAAGGAAAAGTTTTGGATTTGAGTGTAATATTATTTTATTGAAGAATATGTGGTTGAAATGATGTTAAATGTATGGATCAAACAGGGCCTAAGTTTTACTCTTTAAGTTATGGAAGGGAGAGTGATACTTCTAAGCAAGATCTTTAGGACCAAAATGGTAGCACTTGAAAGAAAGGACACTTGATTAGGATTGGTTAACTTGCGTATTAAGTACCGAAAGTTAGATAAACAAAATTGCAATCCTCACAGTTGTAATTCCACATTTCTACAATCATAAAGCGTGCCAACAAACCCGTGGCAATTATTTATTCCTTTTTTCTACATTTTGCAGAACAGAAACTCAACTGCACTTAAACTGGTGAAAAAGCAAATATTGGTTGCTGCGAAATGAATGGAAATAAGGGCGCTGATGTACCTTTTTGGTATCTTCTGTTTTTAATGTTGGAACATGGAACGTGACAGAAAATGCATCTCGAATGCCAACTGAATCTAAGAAATTGACCTCACTCGTAGTTCCAATCACAAGGATTTTTTTCCCCTACAAAGATTAGATAAGAAATAAAATAATCTACAAGGAACTGAGAAGCAAAGGAGAGTTAAATAGTGAGCAGTCATGTAACTAAACCTACTTGCAGCAGGAGAAAAGCAAATAAACCTAAATTACCTAGAGTTACAGAATTAACTAATAGGACAAGCTAAAAATTAAACACAACAACACTATGCACTTGAGACTTTTTTCATCGATCGATCCATTGATTGCTAGGAGTTGGACTATTATTTCATCAATAGCAACTTGATGAAATAATGAGTTAAAATTGAATTATTAAACCCTCAGAGAGAACCCAAAATTTTTAACTCTGGGGATGTGAGACTTACTTTGGTACAATCACAAATAAAAAAGTAGTTTAAGGCATCCTTATCAATAAGTATTCCAATTAAACTATAACCTCGACTGAAGCCTCGGTATTTAGAAGTTACCTTTGGAGGGAGCCGTTTCATGAGCACCAACAATGTCTGAGAAATCAGATTCGAAAATCGTGGTCCAATGGCAACATAATCCAATAGTCTGCATTAGCAAACAAAGATTAGAAAAGAATGCTAAAAAATCAATAAATTATTCATCTAGAGTCAACAGTAATTACCTTTCAATATCATCAAGGATAATTATGCTTAGTGGTGACTTATAAGCATCCTCGAAAACCTATCACAAAACGTATCAAATGACATAGCTCAACCCTATGCACAGAGCATATAATTTCATTTACTTTAATGTGGCCAAAATATATCTATTAATTCAAAAGATTCTAGAGAACATAAAGATGATGTATAGCCAAAATAGAATGAGAGAAAAGGAAATGAATGACTACCCACGGGGCACAAATCGAGGATTTATTAAAATAAGAATAATTAAAATGGCTTGGACATCTCACAAACGATCCATATACCTGACGCCAGGTTTGTTGAATATAAGGCTCAGCTCATTCTATCTATAGATATTTTTGGAATCATACAAATGCTTTAAGATAAGAACAATCAAGATATCCTTTCCAAAATGGAGGAAAATTATATAGGTCAAACATTTAACTTGAATTCTAGTGCATATAGTTGAGCAGTTCAGAGTTAGGACAGAACATTGAACCTTGACAATCTGAGCACATTTACTTCCTTCACTAAGCCCAATCATTGATTCAGCAGATATCTAACAAACAAACAAATTAAAATCAGAATCGTATAAAAAAGAATAAGAATATGAGAAGAAAAAATGAAAACAAATATATAAATGCTCAGCGTGAGCATGTGAAATCACTTACAATCTTGACATATGGAAAATCGCTTTCAATACCGACAGTTGCTGCCATTGCAGTCTTACCACTGTCACAAACAAATAAAATTTAGAAAATTATTAGCAATAAACACATTGAATCCAAAATGAGACAATATTTACCTGCCACTTGGGCCTTCAAGAAGACAAGTAACAATAGGACTTCCTTGACTAACTTTAACTTGTTCAGCCAAGAGCATAGTTCTTCTATATATGTGGTCGTGCCGCTCACCACATTCCACTATGCCATTAAGTCTGAAAGACATGATAAGTTAATTATCTCATTTTTCTGCTACAAGAACCTTTTATTCAATTTAATGGTAGTCGGATATAAACCCAGGAAGGAAGAAGCGCCCTATTGAAACAACATGTGGTGGATTGTATGAAATATCACATTATCTACCCAATCACATCAATAAACATTTATAATGTCAAGTCTATATTTCAAGCCTCTGTTTGAGCTTCGTTATCAAAAAATTAATTTATCCCCAAATTCATTTTCAACCATGTATTCTCCCAATAAAATAATTTAGCACATAAATCCAAAACTTTTTCCTACTTTTTAACCACATATTCTAAAAAAAAAAAAAATCACTATTAACAAACTCATTTTAACCAAAAAAAAAAAAAAAAAG